TGTGTGTGTGTGTCCTTGAGCATGACGAGAGAGGCACGGCCCCAACACACACCCCCCCCTCCTACCCCCTCACACCTCCTGCCCTCCTCACCCTCCCACCCCCCTACCCCTCCCCTCCTCACCTCCCTCCTCCCGCGGGTTTGAAAATCCTCAGTGCCCATGAAGGTATCACAAAAGATTATACACCAGAACAGGAAGACTAGGAGTTGAGGAGGAAAAACTGAGGAAAAACTGAGGAAAAACTGAGGAAAAACTGAGGAAAAACAGGAAAATTTGAGGAAAACTGAAGAAAAACTGAGGAAAAACTGAGGAAAACTGAAGAAAAACAGGAAAAACTGAGGAAAAACTGAGGAAAAACTGAGAAAAAACTGAGGAAAAGGCGAGGAAAAAGCGAGGAAGAAGGAGGAAAAAGAATGAGAAAAAGAGAAAGTGTAGGAAGAGGGGAGGAAAAGAGAAGGAGGAAGAAGGAAGAAAAATCAAGAGAATAGAAAGAGGAGGAACAGGGGTGGAAAAGTGAGTGAAGGTGAAGGATGAAGAAGGAATAAAATAAGAAGAAGAAGAAGAGAGAGAGAGAGAGAGAGAGAGAGAGAGAGAGAGAGAGAGAGAGAGAGAGAGTGAGAGAGAGAGAGACATATGTAAGAAAAAAGATAGAAAAACTGAAGTAGAAGAAAAAAATGGATAGGAATGGAGGGAGTAAGGATGGAAGAAGGGGTGGAGGGAGGGGGAGAAGAGTAAAGGGACAAAGGGAGGGGAGATAAAAGAAAAGAGGAATCAAGAGAGATTTTGGTATGATTTTTGCACTTTTTATTTTATTTTTACCCTTCTCTCTCCCACCTCTTCCTCCACCTTACCCCTCCCCTTTTCCTTCTTCTCTCTCCCATCCTTCCACCACCTCCTCACCTCCCTTCTCTCCACCACCCCTTCCTTCCACCTCCTCCACCTTTCCCTTCTCTCCACCACCCCTTCCTCCACCTCCTCCCTTTCCCTTCTCTCCCACCCCTTCCACCTCACCATTCCACTCCACATCAATCCTACGTCAAAACTCTCCACCAATCCTGACCTCGAACACTCAACCACCAATACTAGGATACTTGTTAACCCCAAAATTATCTCAAATTAACGTAACTAAACTAAATGTCCCGCCAATGTAAATACCGGTATAAAATAAGCCACGCCCATAATCTCTCGAGTAGGGGTTGTGATTGGCTACGATGATGACAACTACCTCAGCGTCACACCATGCTTAATACTTCTTAATATTCCTCCTACGTCAACAAGAAGTTACAGAATGGTAATAATATCAGCTGATGACGTTTAAATACAGTAGACGTAATATGTATAAATTTACTGTTGATATTATTGAAGAGTTAAACGGTCAACACTCCTTACCAGCGCCATCTTTATCATCTATTTCACTGATAACTGATAGTAGTAAGTATTTATCATTATTACTGGCATCATCATCATCATTATTGCCATTAGTGGTTGTAAAAGATCATCACTACTACACACACATACCTGTCCACATTGTGTATGCAGCAAATCATCTTGGGTACGAGGTGTGATGCAGGTGTCAGGAGCCTCCGGTATAAGGTTACCGAGGCTGTGTTATCATTAGTATTCCTCCTATGTTAAGATATATATAAAGAGAAGCAACTTACTACTAACTAAATTAAGCTCATCACAAAAATAACACGGTGAGTTTGCAATCTAAATAACAAGGTGACTCTCTACCATACCTACATACGTTCACTTTACCATTAGTTACCTGTTAATTACTAGTTAAAATCAAGGTAGTTGTATACATTCTAATAGGTTTAAATACACGGGACGTTCATTATACTAGAGTCTGTATAACTGGATCCTGTTACATATATTAAAACGCTCATTTAAACGCTCGTTACTCTAATTTTTCTTCAATATATAAGAGTGTCAATAAACGATGAATTCCACTTTGCATCTTAGTTTTAATACAACAGGTAGATCAACGGGTAAATTAACAGGTAGATCAACAGGCAGATAAGCAGGTACATGTACAGGTAAATTAACAGGTAGATCAACAGTAGATCAACAGGCAGATAAGCAGGTAGATGTACAGGTAAATTAACAGGTAGATCAACAGTAGATCAACAGGCAGATACAGGTAGATGTAAGGTAGATGTACAGGTAAATTAATAGGTAGATCAACAGTTACAGGAGTTTCTAAATCCCCAAATATAGGACAAAAAAATATTACCTAACCAAACCAAACCTAACCTGACCTGACCCAACCAAACCTAACCCAACCTGACCTAACCAAACCTAACCTAACCTAACCAAACCCAACCTGACCTAACCCAATCCCAACCAAACCCAACCCAACCTGACCTAACCAAACCTAACCTGACCTAACCAAACCTAACCTAACCTGACCTAATCCCAAACCTAACCTGACCTAACCAAAACGTAACATGACCCTGACCTAACCAAAACCAAACCTAACCTGGACCAGACCAGACCAGACCAAACCAAACCCGGACCTAACCAAACCTGACCCAACCAAACCTAACCTGACCCAACCAAACCTAAACTTGATTCTAACCAACCTAACCTGACCCAACCAAACCCAATCCCGACCAAACCAAACCTGACCTGACCTAACCAAACGTAACCTGACCCAACCAAACCAAACCTAACCTGACCAGACCAGACCAGACCAGACCTCAGGACTGGGGCCAAACCCAACCTGGACCTTAACCAAACCAAACCTGACCTGACCTGACCAAACCTGATCTGATCTGACCTAACCTGGTGTGTTGGTACAAGACGTGTTCTCCGTCAGGCCTGGGAGGGATATCCCCAGCTGTGTAATATTCAGTGGTACATCGTGACCTTCATGCACCTGTTCTGTGTGTGTGTGTGTGTGTGTGTGTGTGTGTGTGTGTGTGTGTCACCCCGCCACACCTCCTCCACTTTACCCGGACACGATTCCGCTACGCCACCTCACGTCACTAACTCAAAACGTGTATGTCACTATATCTGCCAGACCCGGAGCCTAACCTAACCTAACCTAACCTAACCGAACATCTCCATGACAGGACTTAACCTAACATAACCTAGCCTAACCAGTATATTTTACGTTTATATAATTAGGATTAGGTTATTATTCTCTCCATCCGTCTCCATCATGACGTTCGCCACCACCATATCTCCATCATGACGTTCGCCACCTTCCATCTTCA